CTGTAATGAGGTCTGGTGCTCTCTTCTGGCCTGCAGACATACACATAGACAGAATATTGTATACATAAATATAAAAAAAATAAAAGAAAACCTTGATTGTCACAATGGCTCTACGAATAATAGCCAAGAATTACAGCAAACACAAGAAATGGCAGCAAACAGTTAACACCAGCAAAATTGCAGTGTGTTCTGTGGTCAAGTTCACTGGGTAGGCATGACAAAGATAAGCTGTTTACCACATGGCAGCCAGCAAGCAGCAAAGATGTACAGGAAGGAGACACAGCCAAGACATAGCATCCAATGTCAGGCTCCCAAGTGAACCACTGTATCTTTTATAATTTTTTTACAAATGCTGCAAGATCCCTGGCGGCAGTAGGCAGCAGAAATACTGTAGGTCCCAACTGGTGGTAGCGGGCCATGTGGCAGCAGACAGTGGACCCTGGGAGCAGCCAGAGATGGCTGCCTGTCCCCGCGCAGTGGCTGGTCCCAGGCAGGGAGACATATAGCGGGTGGGCAAAAGACAGAGACATGGATAGACTCGACTTGCAGAGTAGGGTTGAATTTATTCAGGTGGTTATGGGGGGGAATGGGGGGGGGAGAGAGAGAGAAGAGAAGAGAAGAGAAGAGAAGAGAAGAGAAGAGAAGAGAAGAGAAGAGAAGAGAAGAGAAGAGACAGAGAAGGGGGGAAGCGGAGAAGTGGGGAGAGAGGCAGAAGTGAAGCTGCCTCTCCGAGAGGAAGATGGAAAAGAGAGCGAGCTCAGGCTGGAAGCTGAAGATCCAGCCTGCCTCAGCAGATGGGGGAGGGAGTGGACATGGCTTGTCTCTTAAAGGGACCAGGGACCAAAACCATAACAGTATCTCTATGTATACTTCACTTCCTAATACAGTATTTAGAATTTTATTCATTCAGTAAGTTAAACCAATCAAGCCAGAGCCTTCTCCATGCAAACTCTGAGACAACCAGAGGCAAGCTCTATTAATCTTCATATCGTCTCACAATTCAACCACGGGGACAGTCACGATGACCATTCCCACCTCGCCTTCTTCCCTGCTATTTCTCCATGATGAGTTTGATGCTACGCAAGGAGAGAAAATGTGAAAGACTTTTTAAGAACCCTGACATTTCAGGATGGATTTGTAGAGTTGGTCTTCCTCTCCATACTGGGCAGAGTGTGATGGTGGCCTCAGGTTGGCGTGATGCTTGCCCCTCCTGCCTTAGACACCATGTCTTAGTTTCTACTAGGGCTGGTCTCTGGCCTCTTTCTGGTTTGAGGTATCTTTCCTGTTGTTTTTGTCTTAAGATAACATAGTTGGTATCTTTACTTATGACAGAGGGTGACTTTATGTCGTCAACAAAAATACCTTGACTGCATCAGCGTTCGAGCTCGAGGAATTCAAGAGCTCCCATCTTTGTTTCCCAAGACACAAGGCTGCTGGAGGATGGCTCCCCTGTGAACCAGTGTCGCATGGATGCCCTACTCCTGTCCCTGTAAACCATGATGACCGCACTAACTGGTACTGATTTTGACTTTGATGTTCCAGTAGAGACATAGATCCCAGTGGCCTCCACTAGACAATCTTTCTGAAATAACAGCTCTCCTCCCCCACCCCTGGATTGTGGAGGCCCAAAAATATGAGCCTATTTCCGCCTTGTCGGAAGGTCAGGGAGTTTCGGCTCGCTCAAAGTTGTTGACAAGTGTGGCCACACACCCTGACCTAGGGCGTGGTTACTTGGTGTTTGGACATTAAGATGACCCAAACAGGTAGATCCACTCCACCCTGACCTAAGGTCAGAGAATTCGAACATACTTCTGCTCCTTCTTTTGAGTAAGGCTTGACCTAGGGAATGGCTGCCTTCAGTAAACTTGGTCTAGTGTGGGTTCAATGCCTAAACAACAGAATGCTTTTCTCAAGAATTAATGACTTGGCCGGGCGGAGGTGGCACACACCTTTAATCCCAGCATTTGGGAGGCGGAGTCAGGCAGATCTCTGTGAGTTCGAAGGCAGCCTGGTCTACAAGAGCTAGTTCCAGGACAGCCATGGCTGTTACACAGAGAAACCCTGTCTTAAAAAAAAAAAAAAAAAAAAATTAATGACTTGACCAACTTGATGTCTTAAGTACTGAAGCAAGTGACTGTGCTAGTTGTCCTTTGCATCAGTCTTTCGCCTTCTCCCCACCCTCACCCGCTATAGTATTGGGGTATAAAAGTATATGGAAAATTAAACCCAGTGCCGGGCGGTGGTGGTGCACGCCTTTAATCCCAGCACTCGGGAGGCAGAGGCAGGCGGATCTCTGTGAGTTCGAGACCAGCCTGGTCTACAAGAGCTAGTTCCAGGACAGGCTCCAAAACCACAGAGAAACTCTGTCTCAAAAAAACAAAAAAAAAAAAATTAAACCCGGTGATTTCAGTATTCACTGGAACTCCCTCCTAGTACTATCCTGCTTTCTGTTTTATTATTTTCTTTTTTTAAATATTTATTTATTTATTATGTATACAATATTCTGTCTGTGTGTATGCCTGCAGGCCAGAAGAGGGCACCAGATCTCTTTACAGATGGTTGTGAGCCACCATGTGGTTGCTGGGAATTGAACTCAGGACCTTTGGAAGAGCAGACAATGCTCTTAACCTCTGAGCCATCTCTCCAGCCCTGTTTTATTATTTTCAAAGACTGTCTTTGTTCTCTTTACTAACTTTTCTAATCCCCATTTTCCTACCCTGGTAAGTGGTATACCTGCCGCAGCTGGTCTCCAACACAGATCTGCTAGGCCAGCTGAAGCTCCTGATAGGGGCACTTCACAGTCTGTAACGAGCGTGTTTGAACTTCATTCGGTAGGACAGGATCCGCACAACCGCGCTGTCAATGGTTCCTTTGGAGTTAACCTTAATTCTAGGTGTCACACAACAGCTCAGGAGAAACACAGAAACGGCCTTAGTGTCTCCGATCCCTCAGAGTTAAATCTTAGTGAGGAAAAAGTAGAATCTCGGAGACGAGATTCTACTTGTCCCTCCTGCCAAGAGGGAAAAGACCAAGCTGCCTTTGAGTTCCCTCCCTATATAATCTACTGACTAAAGATGAGATGTAACAGATCTTTCTAGTTTTAATTTGATTTCTATTGCTGTAATAAAGAAGGCCAGGAGAGGAGAGGGTTTCATGGACCTATTGATCAAGGGATGCCAAGGGACGTGCAAGTCAGATCCTGTTTCTTCTCTGATCAGCAGACATCAGAGGTAGCCTGTGTCCTTGTGGATCCCAAAGAGTTATGTAAATTTGGTCAGTATCCGACCGTCTTGACCAGCTCACCTGAGGGATGCCCCAGACCCAGGGAGAATAGATATGAGGAAGATTCAAAGGTTGCGCACGATCCTGCCTCCCTTCCTTCAAGCCTGTTCTATGACTTGGGTCTGAGGAATGAATGACAGGCAGGGACCGTCCTGTGACCTGTGTGTGGTCCTGGCTTGGTAGATTTGGAGTTTTACAAAGCAAGTCGACTCCCTGTCTGCTGTGCATCTGTCTGGGAATCTCTGCCTGTTGAGCTGTCACCGATCCCTGATCCCTGATCCTGCACCAGCCTTGCTATTCTTTCAGCCATTGGCTGTGCACCTCTAAGGAGAGGTCCCCTGGAACTTCTCCCTCCCTAGAGGGATTCGGGCCTGTCTGTTCACCCTGTTCTACCGAGTTCCTGTTTATCCACTTATCCTTCACGCCAAAATAGACTGACTCTCCTGTGTCCAGGCAAGAACAGTGTGGAGGGAAGACCCTGAGAACCTAACTCCGACCGCTCATTGCCTTCAGGTCTTGGTTCATTTTCTCCTCCCCTTACCCCTTCTATTCTTCGTCCCTGACTTCTTCCTCTTCTCATTTTCTTCCTTGTTCCTGCCCCATCTCATTTTCTCCCTCCTTCTCTTTCTAGTTCATACAGAGCCTTCCCGGGTTTTGGGGGTCACCGGGAGCTGGCCTGCATTCAGCAGAGAGTTGCAGGGCACATTCTCAGAAGCTGGAATCACAGCCATTTGCTGGCACAAGCATTGCCAGCTGAGGAGAATCACAGCAAAAAGCAAGGCCTCGCCTTGTTGATCAACCTGGATTGCCACCCACGCATTACGTCCACACGAGGATGCTCCAACAGTGTGTGTGCCTTGATGCGTTGGTGCCTCTGTCCTTCCTGGTCTGCATTTTTCTCTGATTAGGGGGAGGAGCCCTGGTTTCCAGTCTTTGCCCATCTAACAGCACAGAGAAAGGCCTGGACCAGATGGTCCTAGAGTAATATAGTTTCCTCTACCAAAGCCTACGCACCTGAAGAGCCTTAGATTTTGTTTGGAATTGGGATTCAACAAATTCCCTCAGATATCCCTGATGAAAAAATTTCATTTTTTAGTTTTATATGCATAGGTGTTGTGCCTGTATTTGCACCATGTCTGTGCCTTGGAGACCAGAAGAGGGCATCAGATCCCCTAGAACTGGAATTATAGGTGACTGTGAACTACCATGTCGGTGCTAAGACTCAAAGCTGGGTCCTCTGGAAGGACAAAGTGCTCTTAACCGTTGAGCCGTCTCCCCAGCCCACCTACTGAAATTGTTTTATATTCAATCTGTACCAGGCTGAATAATGACCTCCCGAAAAATGTCCTAGCCTGTCCTAGTGGTCCAAGCCTGTAATCATAACTAGCTGGGAGGTTGAATGTGAAGATTGTATAAAACAGTCATCTTTTTGCCAGATGGTGGCAGCACCCACTTTTAATTCCAACACTCAGAAGGCAGAAGCAGGTGGATCTCTGAATTCAAGCCAGTATGGTCTACACAGCAAGTTCCAGGACAGCCAGAGCTACATAGAGAAACCCTGGCTCAAAAAATCAAAACAAAATTGATTTGTCAGCCTTGTTCTGAGAGATTTCCATTTTACCAGCAGCTCTTGACTCTGTTTTAAGGATGGAGGGTGACCCGTACCTCTGCATGGACACATGGACGCACCTTCTGCCCTGCACCCCACACCACAAATTGCTTCTCTGGGGCCTCCCAAGCAATTTTCCCTGTGAAAATAACCAGGCTCTCAGAGACCAGTGCAGCCATGATTCAATGAGATTCAGACACCTACATCAGTGTGATGCTGTATTTGAACACACGGAGAACACAAAAGTTAAAGAGTCATCGAAATGTCCACTCTTCAAAGGAAGGCCTGGAGGGCCAGAGAATGCGTAGCAGTGTGAATTCCCTTCGACCAGCCCTTACTGGGGCAGGAGGGAAGCTGTGAAAGTAAAAATGGAGACACCAGGGAGTTAGAGACGCCAGAAGCACGGAACATTAGCCCAGGGAAACTGCAGGCCTGGAGGAAGGCGCAGGCATAACCTTCAGAGATCCACCCCTGGGGACTTGTCGATTGCGTTGGGTGGGTTACTCAGTCTAGGGGTTTGTAACCCACCCTGCAGTCAGTTACTCCAGGGTCACGGAGGGGTACTATCTGGAAGAGAATGGGCTAGGAAATAAGGAGAAGGCCATGCTAAGTTTGTCACAGCCTCTGTTTATTAGGGTCCTGGTTGCTGTTTATATAGCTTCTGGATGAGGGCTTGGGGGGCAGGGGTGGTCCCGGTCACGTAGGCCAGGAGGTTACGTTCGGTCAGGTAGGCCAAGAAGTCACACCTAGTTGCCACACCTAGTTCCCTGGATAGCTGGAATGTGAGGCGGTTCTGCTAACAGATAGTTCTCCATCATAGCTTAATTGGGTGTGGGGCAGGTTTTGTCAATAGAACAATTCTTAACATAATTATGGGTGTGGGGTTCTCTGCAGACTCCCCAGAGTGATGGTTCCTGTAATGATTTTTAGGAGGGAAATGGCTCCTCACAGGGACTCACATATGTCAGCTAGTCCTACCTCCAAAGGGTTCTGCAGCCTCCTGAAATAATACCACCAACCATGGAACACACTCAGGAATGAGAAAGCTCACAGTATTCCCGAAATGTCCACACGGGGGCTCCCGCACTCTTTTAAAAGGAGGCTTTGGGGCAAACAGGACCCAGAGCGACGAGAAATCTCTGCGGCAGAGCTGATCCTCCCTCCAGGCCTTTCCTCCACAGCCTTCTGCTTCTGAGGATTTCCTCGTAGGCTTCCACGTTTCCTGGGGAGAGGTTCGAATATCCCGAGCGGTCTTAGAGCTATGATCCATGACTAAGAAACATAACAGGCAAAGGGCTTTACGCAGGGGGAGGAGTTGAGCAGGCAGGCAGCTAACCTGAGCCCTTGGAGAGCTTCACCGTCATCCCCATACACCAGTAGAGAAAACCAACATGCTGGCACTGTCTTTGTCACGTCCTCACACAGGACAGGAACTGCTGGCAACGCGGCCAGCCGGGTGGACTAGCCTACCTGGGCGACCGAGCCTCTGAAGCTGCAGCTTCCTTCTCGCTCTCCCACACATATATCAAAGCCTTCTTACTCGATAGCAGGGACTGCTAACTTCTCCTCTGTTCTTTCTTTCCCTGCTGCCTCCTACTTCCTTCTTTCCTAGTCCTCCCTGCTTCTACCCCCAGCCTCCTGGCTCAGTTTTCCATCAACATCTGGCAGAGGGCGGGTGGAGGAGGAGCTGACTGAATAAATTGGTTACCACATGGCTTCACAGAGCCAGCCATACTGATCCCAGGAGACTCCCCAAGCTCCAAGGCCAGTTTCCCGTGCAGGGCCAAACACCAACAGGTTTTTGCACTGGGCTGGGGGGACAGGAATTCACCGAACTCTCTTCCTTCTTTCTTTCCTTTTCTCCCTCCTTTTCACCCCTCCCCCTCCCCGATTTTAAGACGGGATCTTACTAAGTTGCCCAATTTGTGTTGAAATTCTGTAGCCCAGACAGGTCTTGAGTTCGTAATCCTGCCTCGGCCTCCACAATAGTGGGGTTATAGATCTCCACCAGTGGCCCCTGCTGAAGTTTCCTCACAGTGGTCAGTTTGTTGCCGGCCACAGGAAGGCCAGGACAGAGGAAGACAGGATTTGGAGATCACAGTAGTGCTGAGAGCCTCCCTCCCAGCTTGGGAGTAAATCACGTGTTGAGAATTCACGCCCCTAGACTAGGACTTAGGGACCACTGGACAATGTGGGGACCCCAACATTCACGTGGTGGCTGCAGCTGTGGGGTCTGAGCCAAAGCAAAGGTTTGAGGCAGATGGAAAGAGACTATGCTATCCGTGAGGCTGTGCTGGGTGGTGGAGGGGGCGGGCTGCTGTTGTCTCTCAGGTTTCCCAAGGTTAGGAAGGGTGACAACTGTCCTTCATTCCTTTCCCTAACATCTCTTGATCCTGTCACAGACTCACAGTGGAAACTGTGAGATCTCTGCTATTGCATAAAATCCCGTGTGTGAGAATCACATTTCCTTATCCGTTCCTTCATCTGATGGTGGGCTTCCAGGCTGGTTCCACTCCCCGCTCTTGTGACTAGAGCAGCAACGTGAATGCGCAAGCATCTCTGGGTCAGGTACAGAGTCCTTTGGGTACATGCCCAGGCGTGGAATATCTGGGTCATATGATGGTTCTATTTTTAAATTTCCAGGAAAATGGATAGATCTGGAAATTATTATAATAAGTGAGGTAATTCAGACTCAGAAAGACAAACACTGCATGTTGTCTCTCATAGGCAGATTCTAATTATTGAAACCTGTGTGTACACATGGATGTGTGTACATACGTGGATGTGAATGTGATTGAGATGTGTGATCCAAATAAGCCCTTTCCTCTCCGAGCAGCTTTGGTCGTGGAAAACTAACTAGGACTCTGGCAATAGATCGCTTCCCCTCCCCCACCTCTTCCCTTCCCTGCATTCTGTCCTGTCTTCTTCCATCAGAGAGGGACCTAGAGTGAGGCCAGCCTCTCAGACGGATGACCATGGAAAGCCAACCTTCCCTCAGCAGAGACGTGGGCAGGGATCCCCAGAGGGCTGTTATATTAGTCGTAGCCCCTGGGTGGTAGAGGTGGAGGGAGCTGCAGAGTGAGGGCAAGCTCTGGCTGTCCTGTCATCCTTGGAAGAGTGAAGTCTTTCCAAGGGATTATTTAGTCCCATCAGCTAGAAGAATTTAAAAGGCCTGTCTCTAGGAGTCCAGCTGCTCCGAGGAGCAGGGAGAAGTGGAGTCTGCTCAAAAGCAGTCTTCGGAGCTGCCGTTGGGATGCTGGGTAGATCTCATCTGGGGACACGGAGGGCAGCACGCTGACTGAGCAGGGGAAACGGGTGGTCTCCTAAGGAGAGGCTGAAGTGTAAGGATCAGATGTATCAGCAAAATCCAGCTGCTGCCTCCAGCTGTTCCTCGGCACAGCCCAGAAACTGTAGAACAACTGCAGTTCCAGTGGAGCGCAGGATCCCAGAGACAAAGGGGCTGGCTCTTTCCCACCCCATAAGGAGCTGAGATGTAGGGAATGAGCAAAAGGTGCCTTCTATCTAGAGGTGATGGAAGGAGCTGCGTAGAAACTCCAGCAGAGCGGCTAAGATCTGGGCAGACCAGGATGGGACTTTCAGAAGTCAGATCATGGGGACACTCGGGGTAGGTGGGAACAGCCCGTGGGAGTGGGAGGATACAGGGACGGAACTGAAAAGGAGTGATGAAAAAAATGCTTTGTTGCACAAGATGAGGACCTGAGTTCAATCCTCAGCACCCAGATTTAAAAAGAGCCAAGTGTGGCCCCTTGTCTGTAATTGCAGAACTGGGGAGTCAGGGACAGGTGGGTACTGGAGCCTGCTGGCCAGTGAGCCTAGCTTAGTTGGTGATCTTCAGGCCAATGAAAAACCCTGTGTCTAAAAATAACCCCTGAGAAACATTCCCCAAGGTTGACCTCTAGTTTCCACATGCACATACACACATATACACATGTACCCGCCTACCCAGGCACACACACGTACCCGCCTACCTGGACACACACACAAGTACCTGCCTACCCAGACACACACACATACCCGCCTACCCAGACACACACACAGGTACCCACTTACCCAGACACACAGCACACACGTACCTGCCTACCTACACACACACATGTACCCACTTACCCAGACACACACATGTACCTGCCTACCTAGACACACGCACACACATACCCACCTACCCAGACACACACACCAAGAAAGAAAGAAAGAAAGAAAGAAAGAAAGAAAGAAAGAAAGAAAGAAAGAAAGAAAGAAAGAAAGAATAAAGAGGTCCAGGAAAGTCACATTCAAAAAGCTCAGACAAGGGAACCATGGGTGGAGTTCAAACCCAAATTAGATGTTGGCTGGTGCTGGTAGGAGGAGACCTCTCCTGTGACTCAGTCATTCTGGGAAGTGGGTGGGGGGTGCTGTACTTTTTCCACAATGGCAGCTTCTGGAGACCCATGCTTCTTGGTTTGCTGTCTCGCCGGCTGAAAGGCTGTGAAAGAAACTCCAGAGTCTTACCTGGGGAAAATTCATGCCACTTCCCAAGACAACCAAGAACAGAAACAGAGGTACTGTGACCCAGAAAATCATGCCAGCCCTGCCCAGGTTTGAAAAGGAGCAGGACCCACAGTGCTGAGAGGTGGACAGGGGTTGCAGGGAGGAACGGCTCAGCTGTCACGGAGCGGCACACATTTCCCAGGGCCTGGAAGTGAAGGACCAAGGACGACAGAAGGTTTCGGGGGTCTCCTCATCTCAGTCACCCCCAGTCACTTCACTCCAGCTTCATTTTAATTCAGCATGTCGGCTGCACAGGCCTTTCTGATTCTCTTCATATTCGTCCGGCCTGCCAGAGCCTCTGCTCCTATGAATATTTAAAAGGTCCAGCTGGGATTGCTTCTCTCCATGAATATTTAAAGAGTCCACTTGGGATCTGCTTCTCACCCACCCGTCTGACTCCAAGGTCACAAAGCTGAAGTCTAGCAAGAGACACAAAGGACTTGGAGCAAGTGTTGCCCCCAAAAGAATAAGGAGAACTGAACATGTGGAATTGCAAGGAGACTTCAGAATGAGGTGAAGGAACGGAGCTGAAAAGCATCCCACCTCATTCATTCACTCACTCATTCATTCATTCATTCTTTCATCTGCCCATCCAGCCATCAAACCTTCATGGATAATTTTGGGTACTTTCTAGGTTCCAAGAATATAAAAATGAGTCAGGCAGTCTTTTCCTCTTTGGCTCTCAAAGGTAAGATGGAACACACACATAGTCACAGAGACTGTGTACTGGGAGACACACACACACACAGAGTCTGTGCACCGGGGCACACACGCAGACACAGAGACTGTGCACCAGGACACACACACACGCGCAGACACAGAGACTGTGCACTGAGACACACACGCAGACACACAGACTCTGAACTGGGGCACCCATGCAGACACAGAGGCTTGCACCGGGGCACACACACAGACACAGAGGCTGTGCATCGGGACACACACGCAGACACACAGACTCTGAACTGGGGCACACATGCAGACACAGAGGCTTGCACCGGGGCACACACGCAGACACAGAGGCTGTGCATCGGGACACACACGCAGACACAGAGACTGTGCATCGGGACACAGGCCTTGCCGGTGTTTCTCTTCTCTCTGTCCCTGCCTCACCCCTGTGCTCCAGCTGCACTGAGGTCCTGACTTCCCCTCCCCTCACCTCCAGGACACTCCTCCTCTGTTGTTCTCTGTGTGTTCTCCCCTCTCCACCTTACACATCTGTTCTTTGTAACACACACAACATGGAGGGAGTTCTTCCAGGGATCGGCCTGGCCCCTCGCTGTGACTCTGATGCTTCTCTGGTGGGCTCCCATCATCCCACAGGCTTCCTCTGACCTATTTCCCATTTGGTACCCTCTATCTGCCATCCTGTAAAGCACAGGGGCCTTGTATCTGCGAAGCTAAGTGTATCACGGTCTAACCTTTGTGTTGTTGCTGCCAGGTATGCCCACAGCAGAAACCTCACAAGACAGTATTTCTCTGTGTAGCTTTGGTGCCTGTCCTGGAACTCGCTCTGTAGCTCAGGCTGGCCTCGAACTCACAGAGATCCACCTATCTCTGCCTCCCGAGTGCTGGGATTAAAGGCGTGAGCCGCCACCACTCGGCTTCTTTTTTGTTTTTTTTATTTTATTTTATGTGTATGAATGTTTTGTCTTCATCTATGTATGTGTATCACATGACTGCTTGGTGCCAGAGGAGACCAGAAGAGGGCACCCTGGAACTGGAGTCACAAATGATTGTAAGCTGCCAGGTGGGCTCTGGAAACTGAACTTGGATCCTCTGCAAGAGTAACAAGTGCTCTGAACTTCTTGAGCCCCAAACAACATGTATTTGAAAAAAAAAAGTCTAGCGGTGGTGACACACACCTTTTCATCCCAGCACTTGGGAGGCAGAGAGAGGCAGATCTCTGTGAGTTCGAGGCCAGCCTGGACTACAGAGCAAGTTCCAGGACAGCCAAGGCTACACAGAGAAACCTTGTCTCCGAAAACCAAAAAATGACTTAATTAATTAAAAATAACTTAATCAATTAATTAAAAATAAAGAAATAATAGTCCTTTGGTTACTAATAATTTCGGGTTTTTTTCCTTTTGGAAACAGGTCTCGCTATGTAGCCCAGACTGGTCTTGGAGCCACAGTCCTGCCTCAGCTTCCCCTGTGGGTGGGATTATAGGCACATGCCATATTTATAATTTCTG